GCTGAGAAATACTTTCTTTTATTTTCTCAATGATGCTCTGAGTACTCAATAAAGGGGTGCTTAAATATCGATTTGTGATTTACCTGGAAGTACCTGCAAAATTCTCTGCTGCACAGAAACATCTGCAGGTTATGAAAGGATACTTTGAAATTAAACCTTACAGGTACCTTAATTACTACAGCTGCCACAGAACTACAGGTGTCAAAGCAGAATAACTCTGGCACCATCCTAAATCTCAGGGTTGGGATTTAAACTTCACTAGATAGTTGACTGAGGAGCTGGTCATGTTCTTCCTCCCGAGGTGGTATTTCAAGCTGGAGGTCTGACCTTCTCCTCACTGCTGACCTGTGACCTTTGCTGTGTAGGACTCACTCTTTCATTTTGCCAAGTCCCTCTGAAGCAGATGTTCCTGAAGCAAGTACAACTGTAATGACCCAGCTGCCCCAGGAACTCAAAATTCCCAGTTTGGCACTAACCTTAGCTGCAGAGACGCCTTTTTTTTTGGTTGGTTTGTTTGTTTGGTTGGTTGGGTATTTTTCCCCGTGTGGCTAGCACAGGGTCCAAATTGTACATGGTTGGGTTCAGGTCTTCTGTGCTGCCAGAGGGCAAAGAGGGCATGCTGACACACTGCAGAGTCTTGTTAGCTTGGGATCAACTATTGTTTCAATGCAAATTACTTTTAGGTTACAAATGCTCATATTTTTGAGCAGTAACCAAATAACCGTGCATATTTAGCTTCATTAAGACACATCTGACTTAAAATTCCAAGCACTGGAAATACAGATACTTTCAAATTGCTAGTGTTTAAGATTTTCATCTTTGAAAAAGGGCTCAGGTTTTTTTTATGAAGGTTGGCAAAGGATGGAGGAGGATTCTGGAAAAGAGGGCAGAAATTCACCACATTTGCATGGTGGGTTTCATCCCAAACTAGTTATGTTATGTTATAAATACATGAGCACTTTGCAATGTCCATACTGGCAGAATTTTAATTAAGGTAGTGTTATTGCTAAGAATTTTAACACAGAGAAAATTGTCTGTTCTACCTTTGTTGCTGTTTTATTTCAGCTAAAGCAAATTTATTAAGTAAATCAAATAAAAACCAAGACTTACTTTCAGCATCCCATGCCACAACAAGTCTTTTAATCTGTGCTGCGTTTCTGTACCTAGTAAAGAGTAACAACCAGAATCTTCCTGATAGATTTAGTTGCTCAAACAGAGCAACCAGACAAACCCTTCTGCCAGAGCAAATGTTCACTAAACTCGGGTTTCATGTGGTGTTTGAAAGATACTGCAGAGGTGATTAACATAAGGTTGGCTTCCTCTTAAAATACACCTTGAATCCACTGAGTCCAATGTCAGCTCCTTTCCCACTTTTTGATACACTGATACATTAATTATGCATTTCTGCTGTTCCTGTGAAATGTATTAGAGACAAAACACCCTACTGCCAAGACATCGTAATTATTGAGGTTGTATTGGCATTCCCAGTATTACTGTCACTAGTGTATGGTACTATTTATAAAGCAGAGAAGTGAAATTTACCTTATGTGTGCAATAACAACATTTCAAACCATCTTGAGATGAAGAAAAATAGCATTTTTCCATCGGAAAATATTTTGTTTAGAAATTACTCAGTAACTACCTCTAAAACACAGCCTTTCCTGCAAAGTCCAAGGGTGATGCCAACCCTAAACTCAGTATGTATGCAAGACCAATTTTTTAGTGCCTGTAAATCACCATCCCTCCACTGAAACCAAAGCTGCCATAAAGATGGCTGTAACCACACAGTGTTTCCACCACCTGAAGCTCAAACCGAGATCCTAAACCCCAGATCCCAATTTTGGCTTTTCAGAGCATTTTACTGAACAGAGCAAGAACATATCATCAATGAAGAAAGAAAACAACTACTGCAATGGCAAAGCATTTCCATTTTGTACATCCACATGAACATAACAGACTGTGAAACAACTTGCACTTGCATGTTGTAAACATGTACATTATTGAACCCCACATGTTCATTATTAAACTCTCTATATGATGCACACTTCTTTTACCATCAGCTCATCTGTGTCTTTAGAAACTAGGAATGCCTTCTGGAGCACTCCCAGGAAGTGCAGTGTACCCCAAAGCTATTCAGCAATACAGCATTCACAGCAGAGCCACTTCATTGTCTTTAATGACTAAATCCTCCACTTCCCACTGTTCACTGGTAAAAGTAGAAATGGCGATACGCAAAATACTGTAGCCTGGAAAAAATAACTGCCTTCGTACTCCTTGAAGTCTGAAAAATAGGTATGTGGCTTGAACAAATACACACGATTGTATTTTCTTGTAAATGTTCCACTGGATTAACCATGCAGTGATCTCTGCTGTTGGTGGGTAGTTAGATCTTGTTCCCCAGCTCCTCTCTTGTGTGGCTGCAGCGCTGGCAGCTCGCTCCTCACACCGGGGAGCAAGCTTCGTGGTGGTGCCCAGTGGCTGTGTGACTGTGCTGGTGGCACAAGCAGAGCAAACCCCTTCCCTGCAAGGCATTGCCTCACACACGGACAGTGAGAATTTGGTCCCCTCTCGCAGTGCTGGGTTCATGCCTCTCCATCACAAACTCGTTCCTGGCGGGGACCGCTCCTCTGAGATGGTGACTCATGTGGGTAGACATGTACAGCGGCCCTCCATTTAAAATTTACAAATGGAGGGTAAAGCTTAGCGTCTAACTGTGTCAGTGAAGGAAAAACTGAGCCTGGCTAACACAATATATTTAAAAATGGTTTCAAATCGCTAAGGATGAAGTTGTCTCCTGTTTTCAAGGTCTACACCGAACTGTACTGTGTAAGTCATTCCTGAACACTGAAGAGAATTGTTCACTGCTCATCTAAGCCAGCAGGGATCCACCTGCTAATTTCAATAGAATCTGCAATAGATGAACAAGCTTTATGGCAGGACTAGCTTACGATCTTTTTCTATGGGACTCTAAAGCGCATTTTATCTTGTGGCATACAGACTGTCCTGCAGCCCCTCCTCAACACACCTGCAGGGTTAGGGCCTCTGCCTGTAACCTCCAAAGTTACCTCAAAAGAATTGACATTTAGCTCAAGTGCCTTATTTCAGTTTTTCTTTTTTCCTTTGCTATCTGACAATATCTGGATTTAAGACTATTTTAACCCATGATATTTTAAGTATCTTATGCACTGCTAAGGAGAAAAATCATTACGGATGGAACCACAGTAAGCAAATGAAGCAAAGGGAAAAATTTTACACCAGCAGCAGAAGTCCCACATGAAGGCAACTGCAGTATAAAGGATGGCATTCTGCCTCTCCCCATTCACCTGCCACGCAGGGCAGTGTTCTTACAACTCCTGTTCCAGGGCTGGTATTCAGAAATTTGAGCTGAGCAAGTGTCACCACTGGCACTTGCGGCTGCCTCCTCCGACCATGTCATCCTGCTTGGGCTGGGGTTGAAGCATCAGATGCAAATGGGTTAGCAGGGAAAAGGGGGATTGATAACAGCTTCCTTTAAAGTTAAAGGGTGTGATGAGTATCTTGAAGTTGTTAGCATTTGAAATATCTTGTGCACATCCCAGCCAAAGGCAGAGGAGTGGGAATCTGTAGGACAGTTTTTCAGAGAGATGCAAGAAGGAATGACACTATATACATCAGATATTTTATGCCTAAAACTCCATAGGAGTCACAGCCTTGCAGAAGCACCTTGGCACTGGCCTTGCTGCTTGCAGATTCTTTACAATTAGCTTCATGTGGGAAATTATTTCTTTTGTGATTTGCAGAACTTTTGCAGTGACAGTACTGTAACTTCATACTGCAAATCAGCTTCTCCCTGACCTGATTTCTGCCTCAGAAATCACACAGAGACTCTAATGATGCTTTGAATGTGTGATAAAAGGTGCTTATTACTCACAAAACTGTACATTCATTATGTTTTCCTGATGACAGACTCACACATGAAATCGTCACCTTCAACGATCAGGGACTCAGAACAGCAACCAGATTCTAAAAATAGATGCTTCCTGTGCTAAGACATTAGTTTCTCATTTCTTACCTGGGATCCTTTACTGCCGTGTTCAGAATTTTATAAGAGAGACAAACATTCATCTAGCATTCACCTCAGAATGGCTATCAAAGAAAATAATTTCCAAACAAATTTCACAGTTTATTCAGAATGAAAGAATTGTGCCTTAATGATGAGTTTCTGGGCAGGGTAATAGGGCGACAAATTTTCCTATAAATCAATATTCTTGAACTACCAGTATTGTTAAACAAGAACAATTTTAAGATGCCATTAGGTCTTGTTTGAGGCAGCCTAAAGAACTGATCTGTTTCTTTGAGGGTGTTTGAGATCTTGGTATGCAATGGCTATTTCACCTTCATTTGTTTTATGCACCTGCTAATGGGATGGTAATATTTTGGGGCATCCTTTGGAGATCATCAAGATTTGAATACTTTGGAGTAATTCTTTTTCTGTTCATCTGTTGGACTTGTCTTGCAATGTGCAAAATCTTTTAAGAAGTCATCAAGCTCATTAAAAGGGGAAAAGCAAAAGACTCCAAGCCAGTTACGTCTTGTGCAAGTTGATAGTTCAAAATCTAGTGTTAAAGAAAAGTACTGAAAGCAAGAAGTGCTGAAATTTTCCAATTGCAATGTACTGGTTCTTTCTTTCCTATTTGCTATGGGCTACCTGGCACTGTTCCTACTGTTGGATGGTCACTTCACACAGCCAGTATCAGGAGATGTGGAGATGACACAGCCTGGTGGGCAGGTCCGTGTTCGCTCCCTGCTGCAGCGCACAAGAAGAAATGCTGTTCCCATCTCTGCAACAGACTGCCTCTAAGCCATCGCTGTCAGAGGCTGATGAGGTTTGAATATGATGTGTCCTTTCATCTGGTCTTGCCCGCTCCTCCAGTGGCTTGGATTTCCACACTCCCACCTTTCTCCCCACTTTGTTCACGAGCTGAATGTGAAATGATGTGTTTGCAATGGTTGGTGCTGAGCTAGGCAGAGGTCTCCCCAGATTTTAATGCAACAAGTTCGGAGTCCTCTATGTATCTTCCATTTAACTGTTCATTGTTGGAATCATGATGGTACAGGTAAACGGGGAGCTCTGTGATTGATGTTGCGGTGTAGGAGGTAGATCGCGTGGAACAGTGCTCTCGGCGCCTTTGGCCCCACTGGGTTTTGTATTGTGTCCATTGCCTCTTCAAAGCACCTTGCACCTGTTAATGAAACACGGAGTCAGGGTGAGGCATAATCTAAATCCCTATAACTGTAGACATTTTAAAATATGCTGAAGGAAAGGGGAAAGGAAAGGGGAAAGGAAAGGGGAAAGGAAAGGGGAAAGGAAAGAGGCTGAATATTTTATTCAACATTTACATTAAGAGTGATGTTATATATGGCGCTAGGATATGACTTGAACTATTGAGTCCTGCCAGGGAATAAGAAGCCCTTCTCCAGCTGCATGTTCAGGCGTGCTGGCACTTGTTAGCTCCTTCCCAAAGCAGGGATTGGGCAAACCCTGGCTCTGTTCCTTCAGCTCAGCTATTCCAGCCAGCAAATTGTGAGAAGAGGAGTAGTTTGGTGTAATGCTCTGCTGTAAATGACCATCCCCCCCCCTCCCCCCCGGAGGAAGGCAGGGGGCGGGGAAAACTGCTGAAGTGGACGTTGTATGTCATTTTTGCTCAGAAAATAGCCTGAAGTCACTCTCTAGGCTCTTTGCAGAACAATACCTTTGATTCATACAGATTAATCTGAATGACACTAATATTTCCCAAGTTTCCACAATTCTAATCACTATTAATATGTATATAGTAAAATGTCATCTACTCACCACCCACAGCTGCCTGCAAGAAAGCTGTTTCATGTCACGTAAGGACAAGGCTTCATGAGGAATTGCTATGAATCTGAGATGCTTACTGAGTGTGCAGCGCAACTATGCAGCATGCCAAGAATGGCTATTTCAATTGCTTTGGCTTTTTATTTTTAATCCAAGATGCAAGCCAAGGTATGAGGATTGATGCTATAAATCCTTACTCATGCAAGGAGTTGCACTGGCTTTGGTATGACTACTTTCTTGAGTAAACAAACATTTGCTGGACTAGACCTTTAAAACTAACTGAAAACTATAGCCATGCCCAGTTTCCAATACTAGCTCTTTTTTGCTATTGTTTAGCTTAAGACAAAGTAGTTAAGAGTTCTTTTCATCTGGAGAAATGTACTCCTATTCACCTTCTCCTAACACATAAAGAAAAGAAAACAAAGGGCTGAGTGTAGGTTAATTAGATATCAAGCACAGAGAAGGCATATAGTTTCAGTGGAACTTTAATTACTGGGCCTGTGAGCAAAGCTTACTACGCCAATATTGAGATTTAAAGTGAAATGGCTGCATGCAGGGATGTTTCATATCACACCATAGCCAAAGTTAATTAGTGAGAAAGAATTACTGCATGAAAGAGTAATGCAGTTATAGCACATGATACAGAAATATTACACGTGAGGTAAACCCTGTAAAGATTTTAGTCACTTTAAAATTCCCTTCTGATGTTGCAGTATGAATATTGTAGCTTAGTCACCCTAGAAGCTACAGGGAGGGACTGGAAGAAGAAATCTTCAGAAGGATTAAGTCAGTGACTTTCCTCAACATCACACTGGGGCAGCGGTTCCTGTAACCTACAGCTGGACACAATGAGGATAATCCAGAAATCTTGGATGTGCACAGCAGCTCTGCCCACCCACAGCTACCTCTTCAACACCACCACCGCAGTCATTATTGCCTGTAGCCACTGCGCACCTCTGGCCATCGCCTCTGCCCATAGGCACTGAGTGTATTTGCATTTTGCAGAAGTTCATCCATTCAGATTAAATACAGCGTCTTTAGTGAAGGTGGCAAGAACATACTCTTACAGCCTTCCTGTTCCTCTCCTAGCCCTGCTTCCCCTGCCCCCTGCATAGACCCCAAGGCTTCGATCGCTCTGGCATGGGGAGAAGAGCTGCTGTGAAGGCAATGAGCTCCTGCTGAGCTCTCACACTGCTCTCAGTTAAACTGGAGTCTGACGGGCCACCAGGGCAACCACAGGTCTGGAGATGATAACACAGTTAACTGAAGAGGGAAGAACAATGTCACTGAGTCTTATAAAGCCTGCTGTGAGGAGCTTATTGTTTTCTTCTCAGGAGGGAGTGACACTTAAATTGTATGTCTGGTCGGGGAGAGAACAGGCACATCCCTTCCAGTTCAGCCCATGATTAGAAGTGCCATTAGTCAGGTTTAAAAGTCTCCACAGAGCAGTGAGAGCACGAGGTCAAAGCAGCTGTGTTTTTATTCTCCGCTGAACTGCTGGCCTGTACAAGAATCCAGCCACAAATGGATAATGGATAGTACAAGCTGCTGCGCTTGAGTAGAACAATGTGTTAATCTAGATTTCTGCCATGATTCCAAGGATCTCAGATGATCACAATTCAGAGCCAACTAAAACTGTTCCTGTGTGGATTTAAAATGTGTAAGCAGCATTACTGAAAATCACATGCACAGCCATAATGTATTAATGACCAAGGAGGCTCCTGGGGACTGGGAGGGGCAGGGTGATGCCTGCCATGCTTTCCGCTGTGATAGCAGATGGAAGAAAATAAAATCTAAAGAAATTAAGAGCCTGAGTTTATTTACTCTACTCTTCAGGACTTAAAAGGTTTTTCTCTTCTCTGTTAGCCATTCATGACTCTTTGGCAGACAAGCTATATGGCTGGTTTTTTTCCAAACAGACTTTCCATTTTGTTGGCCAGCCTTGCAGTCTAGAAGCAATCTCAGGCCTGGAAATTTGGTCTGGTGAGCAGACTATTGCAGAGACCTTGTGTCATCTGTACAACACTGTTGTTGTTGGACAGACAAACTACAGTGCTGCTGGACACTGAGATATTATATGAAAATGTACAAGAAGACCTGTCATTTTAAAAGTCCAAAAGAAATCCATTCTTTATGCGTTCTTCCACATGAATGCAGGCATTGGTACAGCTTCTTATTACTATTTTTACATTTCTTTCTATAGATGGGCTCATGGCACTCAAGTGAGGTGGGTGAGGTAGTAGGCGATGAATAAAATATAAAACAGTCAGGTGGTACTGAGTTCAGCATTGTTTGTCCTGGCTAAACTTCATATATTTCAGCCTTGAAGTTAAATATTCCAGTAGGAAAAAGTAAATCCCAGAGTATCCAGGCTCCTGCGGTACTAAAATTGATCTCCTTGCCCCGCACTTAATTTTCTCATGAGAAATAATTTTGAGCTCTATGGCAGCAGATGTGTACAGAACCTTGGAAACAATCTCCTACCATGACTGAAGACCAAACTGCGGCTTTGGTCAATGTCATACTGCACACAGCAAGTCTGTTTAGCTTAGTTCTCTTGGGCAGCCAACCTCAGACCAGCGCTCCCTCTGGAAGGACCTAATGCCATCTTGGCATTAGTCTGTTGCTGCTCCTCTATAGGTTCTATAATATTGTAATAAATGGAATTTGGAGGAAAGGGGTCATGATCCTTTCATCCTCTCTTCTGGCACAGCCCAGCACAGCTATCCTAGTACATAAACTTGCTTGATGTTTATTGGTAATGTGCTGATGCAAGTAGCACCAGACTGTCTTCAGTCCATGTTAGAGAGGTGTCATCTTTGGCTCTCTGCCCAGCTTAATAGGAAATTCTAACAAAAGCTTCCCTTATTGTCCAGTAAATAAAATTTCCTATAAGAAAATAATGAGAGCATTTCTCCGCATCCCTGCCATTGACCATGTTAGACAGTCTGTAAGTCTGCAGCATACACAACAATTTTTAAAATGGGTGTAATGGTGAAAAGTACCCAAGCACCAACAAATATCACACCCAGCATGTCTGGGAAACCTGAACCCCCACAGCTGTTTGTTCTTACTGCCTGACACTGATGAATATTTCTGATCAGCCACTCCATCAAGGAGTCATTAATCCTACATGCAGTGTGCAGCTACACCGAGGTAGCTAAACCATCCATGTGATTACTTATGGGAGCAATAGAGTACAAAACTGGAAGCCACATTTCAATAGCAGATTCATTTTTATCTCATTTTGGGCATCATCCTTTCCAGATGTGTCCCCTCAGTGTTGGCTCGCTGACAATTCAAGAATCAAAAGTGGATATCCAGGTGAGAACCTTTCACATGGAAGAGGTTGTTTTGCTGTGGGCTGCCAAATGTGTCAGAAAGGCTGTCAGACATGACAGGGACTTGGTGACTATTGTTGTTATTCAGGATTTATATTCAGACCATGCATCTTCAGTTCAGATAAGGAATGACTGGCTGCTATTGCAGCTTCCTAACAGCACAGAATAATAGAATCATAGAATCCTTGGTTGGAAGGGACCTCAAGGATCATCTGGTCTAACCTTCCTAGGTAAGAGCACAGTCTAGACAAGAAGTCCACAAAGTGCAGCATGTCTCTGAGGCTGGACATCTGAATATCATGTATGAATATGGTATATTTTCTTAATTCCAATATATGTATTCTGAATTCTAAATTAATGTAATACAATACTTAGTGAACAAAAAAGAGTTGCATATTTATTTTAGACTCATTTTCATTCCTGGAATGTGGCTTTTAGTTTTCTCCCTAGCACACTCCAGGTTAGTTTGTACGACAGGTAAACTCATTCATACCCTGCAATCTCATTTTGAATTAAATGATACATATGGTCTGCCGTGATGTCGGCAAGCAGATGCTCTAGATCTATTCATCATCGGGTAACTTGAAAATTGTATTCCTGGAGTCGTAAAGATTGATATGCTTCTCTGACATTGGGGCATCGCCAAAAGTACTTTGGAAGCAGAGCTATTTGATGAAACACACCTAAGAAACAAACAGCCTTTAAGATACTTTACATTTTTGGTGCATTTTCTTGCTGCCTTTCCTCATTTTTAGCATTGCTACAGCCTTTCTAGGCACAAATCCATATGTTCTGATTAGAGCTGGAGAATTAGAGAGTAATTGACCTTTTACTCTAAAGCTATAAAACAGTAAGCAAATTTGTTTTGCAAAAGCTAATCTGAAGAAAAAAAAAAAAAAAGGAACGTGATGCTGGGGAGAATGAAGAAGGAAGAAGGCAATGTTCAAGAGCTGGAGAATTAGAGAGTAATTGACCTTTTTCTCTAAAACTATAAAAACAGAAAGCAAATTTTTTTTGCAAAAGTAAACCTGAAGAAAAAAAAAAAAAAAGGAACGTGATGCTGGGGAGAATGAAGAAGGAAGAAGGCAATGTTCAAGACCAGGATTTTGGGGTAACACGTTGTTTGGAGGTAAGCGAGAACACACTGGAGCGCTGCCTGGACATAGCTATGCAGTCGTTCCTAGGGGGAAAGGATATTGCAGAAATTGTCTGGCTGGTCTCTGCTTTCTCCATGCCAAGTCCTCCCTACCAGGGAGAATCACAAGTCTTTCTGTGTTTCCAGGGCATGGAGATTGGACTGTGCCAGAAAGTGATGACAGTAAGGGAGAAGGAGAAAGGTGGTAGTAGCCTGCAGATCCTGGGCAGATAAATGTGATAGGAAAAAATAGTTGTACGTCTCTCCAACTTTTTTTAATTGGACTTGTGAAACCATAAACTTCTGTAGCATGATCTTTACACCTATGATTTCATGTTAGGTTCTGGTGTCACTAACTGCTTATGTTTTGCCATTCTCTTTTATTGTCCTGAGAAGCCATGCTACAGATACAGTGGGAGACCTCTAATCTTTTCTATGGTTGCATTTTTCTGTACATTCATGCAGCAAGCCAGCCAGAAGAAAATGTATAGTGATGTCAACAAGGGGTGGCAGAATTTAATACCCTCTGCCATCCCGAAAGTTAGCAAACCAGCCAGTAGCACCTTATCTGTAGATAACTTGCTTCAAGTCACTATAAAAACGTCAGCGTGGTCACATCATTACTGGGAATTTGCTACTTTCTAATAATATGCAGGGATAAACAGGAGCACGAATATCTCTTTAGGTTGACATACAAAGCTTGCCCTGTACATAATTCATGTGTTCTGGATTAAATATTAACTTTTTAAAATACTTCCTAGCTTTTCTAAGGTATGCGGTGTTTTATTTTGCTACAGTTGAATGCTCCTGATGCATTGGAAAACCGTTTTTCTGCTAACCATCTTTGGAAAATGGCTTACTGTAGGAATTTAAATGGTTCTTGACATATCTTAACCAGCTATTTTTTTGTAAAAATAAAAAGTAGTGAAGTGGACCTAAAACCAGCTGTAGGTATATAAAATATTGATCCAGCTGTAAGAGAATGGAAGACATCTTTGCCTCAAGGGTTTTTATTTCTCAATTACTATGTGAGAAACACTGATCTTCAAAAAGGCCAGTGCTAACCCCCAAAGGAGTGAAAGTAATCGCACTCCTCTGGGCTCCTCTGCTCCGACGGCGTTACTGGGGGCAGCATCTGCCACGGCTCTGGGGCCGAACGCAGCACCCAGTTCTCCAGGACAGACCCCCGAAGATCCCCACCTGGGGCATTCGGGTCCTTCCAGGCAATGCATCCCACTATTCTGGGGCAGGAAGGGACGTAGAGCATTTTTCTCCTTTACGTAAACTTCTGTCTCAAAATTGCAGACAGTAGGGGGAGAGTCTCATGCCTGTACCTCATTTGGTGCCATCTGCTTTGTAAAGGTAACACTCCTGATTCATTTGCTCAGAGATATTGAAGTCATGCCTTGCACAGAGCTTTCAAAAATGCACACTGCTGCTTGTATCTAGAGAGTAAAAAGCGACTTCATGTGGTTTCAAAGATTGTAGCGCGACATGATGCTTTTCCGCATTAACCAATGACAACATGACTATTTTTCAAGTTTTGTTCATTCTCTGCATTTCACATGCTTACCTCACCATTGAAGAAGCAGAATATAGTTGCCACAAGTAAGCCCTAAAAGAAAGGAAAATAAAAGAGTTTAGAGATCAGAATATATACTTTTTTTTTTGGCGCTGTTTCAAAATTTGGACTTGAGGGATGCAAGATTAAAAAAGCACTAGTCCACTTCCTCTGCATCACAGACATTTCACCTAACCTCCCCTTCATTCACACTTACATTATTAAACTGATTTTTGTCTTTTCAACATGTTTTCCCATTTTCTTCTCTATTACTATATATAGATTATCTATTTTGGCTATGAAGTTATTTCTGTACAAGAAGCCTAGAGAAGGAAAATTAAATGCTATGTAAGGTAGATATCTTGCTTACAGGTGCATACGGGACTGGTACTGACTTTGCTGAAGATGTGGCAGAGGACTTGTGTCCTACGTGCTGCCACTCATTTGTCAGAGCACAGTTACCCAGTTAACAGTGTCGGCCAAGGGGAACCCAGCTGCCCCAGGAAGGCTTCAGATCGAACTGTATGTCAGGGTAAGTGACCTTGTATGTGAGGCATTATGATGGATGGCAAGGATGTGAAAAGAGGTATAAATGGTCAGAAAAAGGAAAAAAAAAACCAAACCAACACAGTAGGTGAGTTAGAAGGCAGGAGGCAGAGAAAAAAAGGAGAGATTGCAGATCACAGCTTGGTCCTAAATGGTTAAGATTAATTATTGGCTCAGTTGTTCAGATAATATTTCACTAATGCTGTAAGATTAAACAGGGCCAAGCCAGGGACATGAGGTGAGAATGTGTGAAATTAGTAAGAGAGAATTCTCGCACACAGAGCCTGCCATTCAGAGTCACGTATTTACACTGGTCCATGTTCTAAACCGCACTTGCTCTTATTACAATAGCATTCCATAGCATCAGCGGGAGCCAGATGCCTTCATTTTAAGTTACTTAATGCAGCTATTATAAACGTATGGCAGTTTGTTAAATTGAGGGGAAAACTGCAGTACAGCAGCTTGTGTTCCCAAGTGCTGCTTTGAAGAGCTTTACAGCTGTATCTTTTTTATAAACCCTCATTTAACTGATTACCAGTTAAATTGTAGCTAACACTTTGTAAAATGTCTTGGACTTTGAAGTGTATATTTTGGACCACAAATGTAGGTAAGCAATAACTGTTTTAACAAAATGCTTATATATTAGCGATATACAGCCTGAAGAGATGCTGACAACCTGCATTTTGGTAAATATTTTACTCCAATAAATTTTCTCTAATGAAGATTTTGTAATTTGACATGACTTCAAATATGAACACAGAAAAACATGTGCAAGGAGGAGAAAGGGTTGACATAGTGAGAAAAAGAAAGTTTCTTTTCATATTTTGGAAAGACAGTGAGTATTCTCAAAAACCCTCAAATTCCAGTATACAATATGCAATGCACAATAGTTTGTCCATAAGACCTGATTTCAGAAATGCCGCAGTCAACCAAAAGCTTACGTCTCTAAATCAGGACTTTGTCAGACCACAGATTCCTAAATAAAAAAAAAATATGCAAGGGGAGCAAATGCATCACTTTCCTGTGCCCTATATTGATTTTCTCTTGCGCTGTGTGTGCTACATTAATTAGTGCAGTCTTGCAAAAAATTTGCTGTTGAACTGCACGGTACATGGTCTCAGCAGGCGTCTCACTATTTTGCTAAAGTGTGTTTATATTAACAGCAGTCAGCCACGATGGGAGACGAGAGGGATCTTGATCTCCTCTGGGAGTAGAGAAGCTCGATGGATGTCCCATGTGAGGCACGGTGGACACAAAAGACACTGGGAGGATAGAAAGAACTGGAGAAATTTTTCTAAGTCTGTTCTTCAGCAAGAGTGTTTAGGGGGAATTTGGGAACTGCAGTTCATCTAAAGGTAGAAACTGAGCCCAAACTATTGAAGTGAAGCCATTTTCCATTTCAGTTCCTGTATGGTTATTTGAATTCCTCTGTTGCATCCTGCGATTGCTCTACTTTTCTTCTGTTGGATAGTGTAGTTCCCTTAACTAGTGTTTTCTCCAGACAACTTCTGACAGAAAAGCTGAAGAGAAAGCTGTGGTGCTATCCCTTCAGTTGCTCTTCTGGTCTGGAGTGAGCTGAGAGCAGATCTGACACCTCGTTATTTTGAGACCATGGATGTTTTACCTCTTCTGGATGAAGAAATTGTTTTCTCTAGTTTGTCCCATATATGTTTCACTGCTCTCCTTCCCCCAGCAATGGCCCTCTGGGCTCTGTCTTCTATATTTCTGTTTCTGTTTCTGTTTCTGTTTATATTTATATTTATATTTATATTTATATTCTTATTTCTTCCAATTTATACATAAAGTTTTGCCCATAGTTCAGAATATTATTGTTATCTTCAGCTGTAAAGCTCCAGCGATAGCTATAGCACATACTGGCTTTGTCTCTTTGGAGCCAGGAGGGCTTGGGATGATGACAATTTTACAGTGGATCTATTAAAACACGTGACAGACTGGATGTAGGTTAATTATTTCATGTAAGGTCCACAGGTTAATTCTCCTATCTCTTTGACATATACATCCACGATATCGTCTCTAACTGCTGCTGGTTTTCGCTCAGGGTGCGATTCTTGTTGAGGGTGAGATCTCTAGGTCAGTTATGTCTCTCTGCCACTGTGTGGAGTTGTTAAACTGACCTGGGATACATTGCCTGCTGACAGCAGCAGAACATTGGCTGTGGTACTGAAGGCAGCGATGAGTACATTTAGAGATTAAGGCCTTTAATGACTGCTTCTGAAATTCTTTATTTCTAGAACTGTGTGAAGACCAGATGAATGTGGCTTTCAGCCAAATCATGCCTTAGGGATCGTCCAGAGTCAGCACCTCTCAGACCTTCATGTACCTTATTGATGCCGTGGTGAGTTTTTCCCCGTGTTTATGTGCCTATACTGGTCCAAGGACATTCTTTGCTTGACAGGTATTTAATTTGTGTCTCGCTCTCCTAGAGGACATGAGCGTCTTCAAGAGCAGATCCAGTAACTTGTCAGATTAAAAGGAAACAAACAAAAATACCTATGCAGATACTGCAAATTTACATGGATTTCTGATACCCCGGTTGTTTTTCTTCTAGCTTATAAAAGCATAAAAGCAATATTCTAGCATAAAAGCAATAAAGGATATATAGCTATGCTTCTTTCTGTTATTCATGAGCATGTCCATGGCCTTAGTCTCTTCCCTAATTACACACTGTCTTACTGTTTAGGCTTTAGTAGGGAGATATATTCATTACTGATGGTAGAAGATGATGGCACATGTAATTGTACAGATGGCCATAATATAAAAAAATCAGTTTCTGAGTCTCTTTGTGGGCTTTGGTCTATGTTCACTTCTCACTTCTGGATCTGAATGGATGGGGAGGGGGCCGGGGAGGGGCACGGAAATCATGGCCAAGATCCTTCTTTGAAGTGCTTCCCATTCCCACCTCTGTCATTTCAGCAAAGACAAAGAGCTTTGAGAAACACTACTGTGTTCCTCACCATCTTCATTCACATCCCATTCACACGCATCGCTGAGGTAAATGACTCTGTTATAAAGTGTTCATTTACATTAGGTTAAAAAAAATAAGCAAAGAAAAGAATGTGTCTGTGAAGTTTCTACTGCTACTGAGGTGGGGAGATTGCCATGAGAGGGTTGAAGATGGCTGATCCCTGATGCAAAATGATGGAGACATCCCATCAGCCAAAGCTCACACTTTGCTTCTTCTGGTCTCTTCTTCTGGAGGTTTCATTACTGTCATTTTGTACACGAATTTTTCGTACAAAAATGGCACTTTATAATATCTAGCTTTCAAAAAAAAATTTTCCACAACTATTATTGGCTCAAAATATTGGAAAGTTTTGAAATTAGTAAAAATATGAAGAAAAAAATTAACTAGAAATAATAAAAAAAAATACTTATGTTGTCAAAAGCAGTCCTATGACCCTAACTTTGCACAGAAGGAAAAAATGTTTCTGGTTTGACATCACAGAGGATATTTATTTCCCTTTACAGGGAGAAACAGATGGAATGAGTATCTTTTAAAATGCATTGAAATATCTTACTCATTTTTAAGAGGCTACTTTTAAATTAGCATAAAGCTACATAGAGAGTTAAATTTACAACTCAGAGGCAGGGTGGATATATATGTGACCCAAACCCATGCCTAAAAAATACAAAATACCCTTTACACAAATGAGGCTCCTACAAGCTGGAGCTTCTTTCCTGGCAGGGTGGGTGCTGCCGTCCTGAGGGTGCTGCTTGGAAGCTGCTGCATGACACAGAAGTGATCTTACTTGCGGAGAAAGAAAACTTTGATTATTCTCCATTAAACAGGAAAAAAATTTTTAGTGGCCAATAAAACCCAAGGCCCTTATGCTGAATAGCAGTTTAGTTTCTCATTAGAAGCAGGCTTGCACATTTAGGGTCACAGTCAGCAGGGTATTGAGAAGAAAAGTAACTTTAAGTGTTTGCGTATTGCTGTTGATCTGGGGACTATTTCTCCACTGCACCAAGCAGACCTCCATAGCTAAATCTTCTCTGGCATAGCAACAGTGCCACTTTAGGTAACATGATCACCTCTAAAACCCAGCTATAAGATGCTGGGGAGAGAATTTGATGAGAGGGGACAGTTGGTGGAAGGAGCTTGCAATCACTGGGCTTGTTTGAGAGCATCTGGTGTGTGTGTGGACATCTATATGTGGGACTGACTGATGTATCATGGGGTTATTGCATTTTTCTACTCTTCCTTTTTTTCTTATGAGGCCTCCATTATGGACCAACCTCAGAGATCAGAAGCTGGGATAATGGGATGTGCTTGCTGGTGTGCTCCTTAAAATGTTTTCATGCAAGGAGAATGTGCATCCTGTACGGTAATGTTTTACACCCTGAGAAGACTGCATCTTTCCTGTGCCTTCAGCATCATCTAACAGGCTTTTGAAAGGTCGTCTAGGAAAATCTGCAACTCACTGACTCTTCTGGAGTGCAAATGTTTGCTTTGCACTGCCTACTTTAGGAGCTCTGTTTGATAAGCTAGCTGCGTGTTCAGCAATGCACCTACAGCGTCCCATTCTGTGCATAAGTTATTCCACTTAAGTGTTGAAATATCTTTTTTTTGCCTGGTGCAATCTTTACTTCAGCACAGTCTGGAGACTGAAGAGCTGATGATATTGGTGATGGTGAGGGGAGATACTAATGTCTGCTTTTACAGGCTCCATGGGAGGCTGGCTGGCTGGGTCGGACAACTACATGCATTCATATTTGCAGCACAAAAGCCCATCTTCAATTTTTTTTTTTTATCATTTATACATCTATTCTACAGATCTGTTAAGGATTATCTGGTCTATGTCACGAATCAGACACAAGCTGATACAGGGAGGTAGACATACAGTGTTTGTGAATTGCTCGTGTAATCATATTTGAAAAAAACACTTCTGCTTAAAATGGTGAGCATTGATGATAGTACTGCAAAAAGTCCAGCACAATTCAAAACCAGACTGGCTCCTGTAATTCAAAAGTGACTTCAGCAGAGGAAACCTAGCATGTAACATCTTGAGGTGTTGTTTTTCAACTGGGAAAACCATTCTGAAAGAAATACCATTGCACAGTTTCTTGTGGGAACAAGTTCTTTCTCATTCATCATTGTTAATCCTCTGATTTTTACAACAGACTGCAGTGTTTGTTCGCACCACTTCTGTGTATATGGAGGATGTAACTAATATATCAAACCATTGTGCTCTCTTAAAGCAGTGATGTGCTGTTGAAAAACTGTCTCTCATTCTGTTCCAGAAAAGGCATAAAAAATTGTTTAACCACTGCAAATACTGAATGTATTACCTTATCCACCAAAAAAAAAAATCATAATTGCACCCAGGATGCCTGCTTGTATGTGATTGACATGCCATGGGATGCAAAAACTAATAGACTGCTGCTATTTTATGGAGAGGCAGGCTGCGCTGCTGTTTATGAGAGTGCAATAGCTAACGGGGAAATATAGCCGTTAAGCAAGCTAGTGCAATATCTGCTAATTACTTAATCAGTCCTAGAAGAAAATGAGCACCAGAGGGGTGATTATATAGCTGGCTATCTTAAATATGCATACAGGAAATGTTTGGGAAAGGATTAAGTTAGCTTATTTTAGAATACAATTAAAAATCCGCTCTAAGTAGAAAAGGGAGCGTCACTGTCGGCTGCAGTTAGCAGGACAACTGCGTAGCCCTCCCAAAAGGCCGAATTTTACATGCTGGTGGGAAGCACAGTGAGATGATATTGCAGAAGTGTCAAGAGCTCTTCTGTGAGGTCTGCACTGCTGCCCTGGCTCGGGGCAGCCCTGGGAGGGCTGTCACCCCCCGGCGTGCCCGGTGGCCTCCCTGGGCACAGCGGCAGTGGGGCACCGGCAGCCTCCACCATGTGTCCATGACAGTGTCCCCAGCACCATCCCCGCTGCTGAAAGGGAACAAAATGTATTGGCAATTGGGGTCATCAAGCCGTGGAGCGACACCATTCCTGATGACTGGGACAAGGGCAGAAGGAACCCATCAGAGATGAAACTTTGCCCCTTTGGATCCCTCCCTCACCTAATCCCATCCGTCGGTACAACAGTTTCATGATACTTTGATTTTGTTTCTGGTTCCATTTTAACCTCAGTTTGGTGACTTTTTATTGCACAATGATCAGAATTAGGATTGTTAAAATAATTAACATTCTCTTTGTAGTTCTCTGACAACCTCACAGGATTTGAAAGATGGTTTAAGAGTAGAATAATTATTGTAACACTTTATCTTATCCTAACTTGCTAAAACTGTAAGCAACTTGTCACCAGAAAACTTATTTGGAGATATTCCTTCATAGCCCTTGAGAGCGAAGAAGTGACAATACAGGTAACAACAGAAGAAGCAGACTCTCATTCCTTTTAAGCAGAATCATAGTATAAGATGGCACACGCTGCAATAACACACCTATAACTTCAGTTATTCTATGCATGCAGTGGCATGCACACCCACAGTTTTGAAAGGATAAGGGCGATAAGCAGAAAATATAATGTAAGAAGACAGGATGCATAGATTTTGTTAGCATTATTTATCATTTCATTTAAGGAAAAAGCACCAGTGATTTTTTTTAAACTGTTTTCTTACTACAACATTAAAACAAATTCTGCATTTAGCTTCTGTATGGAAGGAAACAAGAACTGAGTCACTGTACACACCCATGTTGACCACTATTCATGAATGCATTAGAGATGTGCCTTTCCTAGTCAATGCAGGACTGTATATATTACAGTCAGTAAACCACATAACCAAGCATTTAAAGTCATTTAGGTTTGGTTTGGTTTGGTTTCCTTTAGAAAGACTTACTGAATGATGCTGTATTTTCAAAGCATTTATGAAATCAAAATGTCAGTCATATATTTTAATTTAAACTGCCCGATAGTGGAATTTAACTCCTAAATGAAGCTTCATTATCTCAGTCTTTTCTTCCATGCACTCCCTCTGCACAACAGTTTGCAACACAGCTAATTTTAATATTAACCTCACAGCACCAGTTTCAGTCAATTTGAGCACTTCAACAGAAATCGTGTTGGAACACAAAAGCCCTCTGTCACCTCAGTTTTAGTTTTAGTTTAGAAATGATCATAACCTGATCATTTTTGCTCATTTTTCATTGTTTCCCCTATCGTGTGGTGGTTCTTTATGCAGCAGTGCTATTTGTGCAAAGGCAGATAATCCAATGTTGTGAAGGTGGTTGGAAAAGAACTGCAAAACCATGGTCATGCTCAGTTTCAGGGCAAAACAACTGGCAACAGCATCTCTGGCTAAATTAACTTAACAGCAAGCACCTCACCTAAGGTTGCTACTATATAACATACCTGGTAATGCATTAATATATGCATGATGTAATCATATATTTCTCCAGCAAGTCGGTTTTCTGGTCTCCAGGGAATAATAACAAACTGAATTCCTAGTAAGGGCACCAGGATTAAAGTGGCTCTGACAGCTTTCATATACATGTTGGACTCAGCACGGTGGGTATCTCTTAGCTTTGTCACCAAAACTCGGACAATGTTAAGCAAAAAGAAAAAATTGACCTGCAAAAGCAAAGCCATTATAGGTGAAAGCATTCAAATTCATCAGAAATTCAAAATAAAAATACAGAGCATACAAATAGCAGTAAAATGAAAGTTTCTAGCTTTTTCATAGCTCATATTGGGCAACTCCTTGGGAACCAGGCCTTGGAAAGCACCTTGAATGTCTTCAGAAAAGAGATGTTAAGCTGCTCTACGCGCTTCTCTTAGGAAGCCTGTATGGATGTTTCAGGCAGGTAAGGATCAGTTCTAGGAAGCACTGTCTGTTTTGACATTGAGGTGGGCAAATTTAGGATTTCCAGGGCACAATTAATCTCATTTTTATGTCTAAAGTTTAAATGTGAAGGATGAATTGTCCCCTAAGAGTAACCATGTCTCTCTTCTGCGTCTGAAAGTCACCTAGGTATCTTGCTTCAGCCCACACCAAAGATGTCTGCAGCTGGCTGAGACAAACCCCAGCGTGTCCCTGGGCATATGGGACCGATGGGAGCGCACAATTTCTCTGAGGCATGTGCTCCAGCTTACATGGGCCAATGCTTCAGGCTTGTGTATGAGCACGGGTGCAGGCTGCTCTTTAAAAAAACCTAGGCTATCCCTTGCCTCCACCAGGCCGCATGGGCCCCGTGGTACACTGCCCACAGGTAGAAGTTAACACTTGCTGGCTCAGGGCAGAAACACCAGACACTCCAGAAAGTTTTACCCTGACTCTTAGGGTCAGCGATGCCAAGTAGCTCAGCATCTCTTCTCCTCAGTTGTTTCTGGATTTCTGATTCCAGCTGCGGGTGCTCAGCATACGGAAACCTGCTCTTGACCCTGGCTTCACAGAGAGCTCCTTGCAGGATGTGCTAAGAGCCAGGGAGGGCAGACCCAGGCTGATCATGAGCCCAGTGAGTACCCTGAGGACATCCTAGGTATCACAGACCTTCTCTCTCTCCAGTGTACCCAGATCACCCTTTTCCACTCTGTTGCAGTATTATCAGGCACCTATGCTTCAGAACTTCAGTAGACATTTTTTCAGATGATTTTTTTTAAAAATAAGTATGTAAGTTGCATAATTTACATAGATATTTTAAGAGCTGAAATTCCATAGATACATGAGAAATTTCAGTTGAATCTTTCAGAACAACAAAACATGGATCAGTAAGCTTTGGTAAAGCATTTCATCTCTTCTTAACTACTGAGAGACCTTTCAGCTGTTTTTCATTTGTGTTCTACTGGAAAAAAGGAATAATAAATGAGTTTTGAAGTCTCATTCAGCATTAAATCTAAACCTTATTTTCCATCCTACTCTTGACTTCACTCACTCTGCTTAACCTTCACTTCTAGAATTTCTGTAAGGAAATGTGAAAAGTAGAAAAAACACTTTACAAAGGTAAAAATCCTTAGCTCTTCTGAGTCAGTCTGTCACTATGGGATTTTTGTAGCAAATCATGCAGAACATTCTGTAGACATTGACATCTTCACAAGAAAAATAAGACTGGAAATAGCATAAACACAAGCCAGAAATTATAATACCTCATTTTGAAAACAGTTAAAGATTGTTTTTTCCATAAAAAACAGTCTTTTTTTTTTTTTGTGGCTAAGATGTACAGACTTGGAGCATGCTGATAAAAACAAAGGTTGAATGGCCTCTCCTGGAGTTAGCTGGCATTACAACAGAAGAAGCAATCAAGATTGAACCAGTAAACCCAGAATGGATGGGATTCTATGGGAACAGCAGACTATGTATATGGCAGGGAGGACTGGGCTTCTTCTGATTGCTGATGTGCAAGACTTGATTCTCAAGAAAAGATAGAAAGATTTTCAGGTTTTTCAGCTATTAGATGGAAAGTTGTTTCTTTATTCAAAGGTGTTCTCAGTATTCACCACCCTACTGTTTGACCTTCAAGGTGCTTACTGCAGGTACGTCCAATGCAGATGTTTGCAAGCAATAGGCAGATCAAAAGCTGGAAGTGCATCTCAGGTGACACATTCAGGTGAACTCAGGGCTTGTGTTGAATAAAAACTTTCTGCACCTTTCAGGAAGGTCAGGGTTACCGTGCCAAGTGGCACCACTGGCATACAAGATGCTATATGTATATGTGTTTCTAAGCTATATGTATATGTGTTTCCAAGCTGTGCTTTGAATCTTGTCCTCCTACTCAGACAGCCCCGACCAGTCCCTTCCCTGGACTAGCTTAGCTCCCTAGCTTTGGACCATACCAGTTCAGTGTCCAGTAAAACTCATGCTGAGTGACCAGCCTGCACTCAGCTCGCCCCAGCCAAGGCATAGCTAAGTGCCTCACTGATGTCACATAAATGCAGTACCTATGTCACAGTCCAGTGACACTGGGAGAGAGTGACCACCTTGATTTTCCAAAGCAGTTAGTGATTCTGTTTGCCTCAAAATCCGATTCTTTACTGGGAGGTTCCTTTACAGGGCTTGTTTTTGAAAAGTATTGAGAACCTGTCCTTGGAACACTGAGTAGAGAAAACCTCTAGCTACTTCTGAGTTTTGACCAAAATACTTGACAAAGTGTGGAAACTTCTATTCTGTACAGGTTAGCAGCATTTCTAAATTAATTATTGAACTGTTGATAGCAAATAATATTCTTACCAATAAAGCTGCCATTACAGGTCCATGAACAATATAGAGCAAGTGTGTGTCAACGCTCATCCAGCAGCTGGAGGGGAAATACATCATTAAAATTTATTATTAACTCAACTAAAATTTGTTACACAGTTAAATAATGCTAAGTTCCTTCAAAAACAGACATGCTACTCACTTGTCATTGAAGTATCTGGCTCTTGCAACAGCATGAATAGATGCTGGCACTAAAGGGAACCCTGAAATGATTAAATTTATTGATCAGTCTTGGTATTTTTTTAGTTCAAATTTCATGTGTCACAGACACTAATAAATCTCTTGTCCACAAAACACATGTATGTGAAATCGCAGCTTTCAGGAAAGAACTGCAATCCCGCTGCAGACAGGGCCCTAGCATTGCCTCAGTGGTGAGATGCAAAAGTGAATAAGGCTCAAGGTGGGCCAAAAGGAGAAGCAAAGCCCATGGACCACGCTCTCCTGGGGCGTCACAAAGCTGCTGCCAGGCTCCCCTGTGCAGGGAAGGGTGTGAGCAGGCAGTTGGGAAGGATGCAGGGATCATTTGGCTCTCAGTGGAGTATACCCCTGGGAAACCAGGGACACCTGTTAAAACCATGTAAATCATTGTTGAGCAAGAGAGAGGCACATTAACTCGCATGCCAGATTGCTGAGCCATAAACAGCAGAGCGAGGAGTTGCTCTTTTGGAGCCCATGGCAAGATAAAATGTTTGGAGCCAGGAGGGTCTGGGGGGATGGGGATTTGTGATATCTTCTGCAGGCTCTCAGCATTTGTGCAGCCAAGCCCACCTCATGCAGCTTTATCTCAGCAGGGAGTGGAGCTGTGGATACCATAAATCCACATCTCCTGACTTATCTGTGAAGCCTTAGGAAAGGCCACTGCTCTGTCAGGGAGCTGATGGGAGGAAACTTGCACCGGGCCAAAGGGTTGGGAACATGCCATGCTTATCAAACTGGAAGCCTCAAATTCTTATTTCTAGCCTGACACTGAGTGACAGTCTGGTCCACTCCTGTCCATCTTCCTTCAGCTTGCTTGTATGTTGTGTCCCTCTCCAGTAGGCTAGAAACCTGGAACTGGGGGGTCTGCACTATAATGCTGACCCCAGTTTGTACAACCTTGCACATACAGACAGCTGGCTCGTGGGAGATGGTCTACTGCCTTGTCTGTCCTGTGCAAAAAGCTTTGTGGACACCTTTGCCTGTTCCCTATAAAGCATGGAAACTTCTTCTAAGCCTTCGATATTATATAATTATCATTAAAAATATGTGAAATTGTCCTGCTGATACCATGGTTAGTCAGAGAGGGAAGAACGTAGCTTCTTGTTTCTTTGGGTGTTAGTGGTTTCATAAATGCTTTTAGAAGAGATAGAGAATCCTTAGCCAAATTCTGGGGAAGTCTTACTTCAGAGCACAGGCCAGCCAATGCTGGAATGAGAATAAGGTCAAAAAAGTATGCAACTAGGACACACTGTTGTCTCCAGGTATCTTTAAGCAACAGCTACTTACTCTACTGCCAAAAAAAGTTCTTATTGCAGTTTACCTTGGGAGGACAATGCAGCTGTGGAAGAACAAACTGGATTGCCTTCTCCTTTATATAGTATTAGAAAAGGATTACTTGACGTCTGGCTGCACAGTGCCTTTTTTTGGGTGATGATGCATGGTAGAACAACAAAAAGCTCACAACAGAAAGAAAATGCTTCCAACCTCAGGGTGAGCTTATGGGATTGACAGCTCGAGAAAATCCTTTTGATTTGGAAATAGAGCAAGTCTGGGCCAGTTTTGTTGACAGACAGATTGAAGTGCAGTTTGTAAGGGGCCTTTCTGTAATAGCAAAAATTCTTCACCTGAAAGCTCTGGCCTGAAGTACCATGCGTAGAGCGCTCCACATGATGCCAAGGGACCTTGTTTCTTCTGGTAAATGCATTAGCCTAGAATATTTGGCTCAACAAACTCACAAGCAAATCTTAAGGACGCGACGGAAAGTTTTCATTAGTCAGTTACAGGGTAAAAGAAGCTCATGACTGTCCACAGCTCACATTTCCAGCTGCAGGCTGGATGGGCTCTTTTAGGGCTAAGTGTTGCTCTTTTCTTGCAAAGGGCCAAAAGGCAGAGAATTAATGAGTAGTGGAGCATCAAGGTCTGTTGGGTCTTGGTGGTAAAACATGTATCACTCCAAGGGTCCCACCAACACATGGTGAGTATTGAGTAACGTAGACAAGGTCTTCCCCCAGCCATCCCAGGAAAAGGTATGACATATCCCTTTAGGTCATGCCAGGTCCTTTATGGCACTAACTGGTAATTATGCTTAATTGTATTTCCAGTTGAATTTGGAAGGCATTCTGTTTCAGCACTGTCCAAATAAACTATTCCCTTTTCACTTTTATGTGGATGAAGCTGCCTAAATCAGCCAGACGGAGTGGACTGTAGCTGGATGCACAGATTTGATACTGTTTTCTTCTCCTGCATAAGGGTGATTCCCTGACCCAGTGAAATAATAACAAATGAGAAATGACATCCCCAGCAGCAGCTCCCAGAGAAGGGGTCACCTAAAGGCATCTGCCTTGAAATACATCTGTGTCAGATTCCATTCATCATCTCAAACCTTTTGTAAAAGTGTTTTATATCTGCTCAGATTTTAATTTTTTTTATAAAACTATTTTACAAATGTCATTAGTGATTTTTCCAAATAAAATAATTCAGATCTTCTTGCATAGGGATTAATTACAACAACGAATAAAGAGTAACTTCATCTTGTGTTCTACATTTACCTTGATCTTTTGAATTGTTATTCAGAGCACAACCTGCTCTGGTTGCTCTGCATTGCCCTTTGGAGGAATGTATCTCTCTCCATTGATTAACACAGCTGGATGTTTAAAGTTAGACTGTGTGACTACTGCTTCTGGAATCAGTGGAAGTACACTGATTTATGCAAATTTGAGGGGTGGCCAGATAGTCCTAATTAGATCATTTTGCTATTAATGATTTCTACCTTAGTTACAAGGTGCTAACGATTACTTTTTTTGTGGAAGTATTCATCTAGTTTCATTAAAAAATGCTGCATACTTCATAGTCAAGAGTTGTGTCCATTTTTATTAACCTTTTCTTTCTCAAGATATCAACATCCTATTACCACAGCCATCACCTTATTTATTTTTTGGGCAGTGCTGCAGATACTGATGAGTACCTTATCTGATAACTTCACTGAATTACCCACTGTGATGTTAGTGCTGTTCTCAGCAATATTACAGCTAGATTCTAAGCTTTCACTGCAGGCTAGCTGATCCAGTTGCATTAAACGACACTGCCTAAATTGAATGTCACCTGGAAAAAATATGTTCATGACCATCTTCCTCTTGCATAATTGCATATGGAATGACACTATTTTGGGAAGGCTTATGCTGCAAGACATGAAAATGGAAAAAGCTTTATCTGGAAGGAAACGTTTAAAATGACTCTTCACATAGGGCTGCCATTTAAAAGCAGAGCCCTGTCAGGCTTTGTATATTCAAATATTTTGAACTATGAAAACTTCATGATAGCACAGTTGCTTGCTCCAAGGCAGCTCAGCTATTTGGATTGACAAAGTCCAGAAACCCTGACTCAGTTTAGGGTTCTTCAGGAAGGCTGACTTCTTTTAAGAGCTGATGATGTTCCACATACATACTTTTAATTCCAAGGGCATGACAGGTCCCTCTCTTCTCAGAAAAAATGCCATTCTCATAGGAAGAAAAAAAAAAAAGATGTCATTCTCATTAAAAAAAAATTAAAGAAGGTGAGTTCTTACGTGCCTGGAAACTGTTATCTGACACTAGAATCCATATAAGCTAGAAAATCATGTTAATTTTCTAGGTGTCTAATGGAGGTATCCAGAGAGCACTAAGTCTTATAACATAAGAGGAAAGTAAATTACCAGGTTTGTAAATGAAAATCCAAATAGGGGAAGAACAACTTTCCACTTTGCAGTTACTGCCTATTTAGGAACTGATATTGAAGTCTTAAAATTCTTCAGAACACTCAGAACTGGGTCATTTTTCTCTGATCTAATGAATTCCTAATGTTTTTCTGTTTAAGCAGTACGGCTATTTTTTATTTTCCTGCTGTAAATGAAATAATGTTGAACAAGTAAAACATCTCCAAAGAGGATGGAAAATACAGAGTAAATTCTATCTGCTTCAGACCAGGATTGCAAGAGATGAATACAAGTGAACATCCCTAAGTGCACTGGGATGATGGATAAAGGTCCATCATTTGCTCCTTCGCTGCACCAGTGGTCTCAGGACATGGCACTGGCTCACCAGAAACTGGAATGAGGCCAGAGATTCATGGTTCCCATACTGGGAAAAAGCTCTTAGTCATGATTTTCTGTCAACACTGATGTGGGCTGGATTTACAGTAGTGATTTAAATGTGAAAGAGACTGCACTCCACCATAAAATATAGGTTGTATTTCTATGGCCTTTTATTGGACCAGACAGTCCAAAGGATAAATATCTGCTGTTGCTACTAATTAAAAGGCAAGGGATTCCTTAGTGAAAACCTAAGAGATCTGCATATTTGGAGATGAAGGACCAGACCTAGTCATGGTTCCTTGGGTGATACGCATGTGACTACATGCAGTTTGCATCCATAGTGTATGGGGTTTGTAAGCCCTCTCATTAGAATATCGTTAAGATTTGCTTATTGACACCTGTATGTTTCTCTGAAATGCTTTAGATATCACTGTTGGACAAAATCAGCCCTGACAGCAGAGCCATCATCTACTCCTGTTTAGGTAAAATTGAATCTTCCTCTTTAAAACATCTGATATTGGATTCATTTCCAGAGAAATTCTGGTTCCTCTTTCTGCATGCTGCAGTTTTTTCACTTTGGGAGACACAGATACTGGTTTTTGCTCTTCTTCACTGTAGAAAAAATATACTTTTACAGGTAATGTCACAGATCAGTATTTTTGCATATAAAGTCACAAATATAGGTAACTTTTGTTCAGAAAAGAGATGTGTTTGGATAGAAATCTATTTCTTCCCCAGAACTTTACTTAACAAAACTTAAGCATTTCTTTCAGCATGTGCCAAGGTGCAGCAAATAATGGATACTGACTCCTGCTGATTTTTGTCTCTAGGCCCATCCAAATAAAGGCTCTCAAATTTAGGACCCAAGAACTCAATCTTCAGCTATGATCTAGAGGTATAAATACAACATTTCAGGTGCATAAGAGGTAGAAGAATTCAAATATCTGAAAGACTTGACCATCTTGCTACAACTCATAACATACATACCCCAGCCCAAGAGGTAATACCAGTGCAAACGCTGCTCTTCAGCGAACACTGCCACCACAATCAAGGTGTGAAGATAAATGCCTTCGCAGAGCATCCAGAAGTAGTTGCAGCCCAACATGTACTGATGAAAGAATTGCAGCACTTTGCAGCTTACCTGTTAGGTAAATGAGATAATGTCACACACTTGACCAGCATTTTTGCATTTAAGCAGGCAAAGACAAATGGCTATAAGAAAGCAAAGTGGAACAAAAATCCCCAGCTCTTGCTGGGTTTGTTCAGCACCTATCAGTGACAGGGATTTTAAACTTTTATAAATGAGATGAATGGAACAAACGGCCCTCACAAAAGAGAAAAAAAGTATAACAGCACTCCAGAAAGTACCACACAACAAAAAATCCCCTTCAAAACCTGATGTTTTTTTGAACTGAAACAAGCAACTTGCTTTAGATGTACAAGAAAGGCTGTGAAGATGACAGTAACTTAGAGCTCCAGTTTGGATGATTTCTTTTACTTTTGATCAAACTTTTATAAGGTTAGTTCAGGTCTCCCATCCGAGCTGGAGTCACTCACTCTTTAAACGGCACTCACGTCTGAACTCACTCCTTCTCGAAGGGCAAGTGCTGTTGGCAGTGGGGCCTTTTTTTGTAGGGTACCAGGGACACCAGCTTTGCCTCTTTGTGAGAAAACAGCTTTACTTTATTTTGCCCAAATGGCAAAGTGACCCATGGAGCTAAATGGAGCTGGTGAAGTTGGGAAGTGGCTCCTGCCTGCAGTTCAGATGAGGCTGCAGATGTAGACCTTGACAAGAGACTGGGGCTTTGGGATGCTGGGAAGTGGCAGGCAGACAGTGGAGGGAAGTGTGTCCTACCCAGTGCCAGAGAGCTAGCTGGTGCAGGACAATGCTGTTCCTCTTCTGAGAGGACTTCATGCCCATCCACCTCCTCAAAGAGGGCAGTGAGGTGCTCCACATGGGCTTCCATGCCACCAGCACCCAGGAGGGCCAGGAGGAGCGGGCAGGCATTGCTGTGCTGGCAGAGACCCACTGGTCCTGGGGGAGCACCACGTGCTCCTCAGAAATCCAAAGTCACAGCAGCAATGGCAAAATGACAGTCATCATCTGCTGCCACAGAACTTCTGCAGAAGTTTTCCAAGCTGACTACCTTGGTTGTCAGGGATGTCTTTAGGATTTACTTGCCTTTTTAAAGAGAAAAAATTCAGCAGGTAGAGGACTGCATGTTCTGCATCCATCCAGGGGACTCAGACTGCCCCTCTGGACCAGAAAAGCTTGTTAGCCATCCAGTTCACCACCTTCTGTTGCCAAGAAACATTCCCAGAGCAACTGCCCAAACATGTGCATTTAGTTCTGTTTCAATATTTACAGCACAGCTTGGTGCTCATGAAAATAGAGGATTATTGATAGGCTAGGATATGGGATTCCAACAGGATTAACTTGAAGGACTGGTTTTTAATTTTGGTGATTCATTTTTTCTGCTCACCACACAGGGAAGAGCAGACAGTCACATCTTTTTTCCACACTGTGTCTGAACAGTTCTTATAAAGTATGCCGAGAAAGGGTTGTACAGTGGTTTGAAAAGGTTAAAAAAAAAAAGGGAAGAGAAGTATTTGCTTCTTTTTCTGTTGGCAAGTGTGTTCATTAAGGTTCTTAAATCGTCCTTGGACTGTTTTTCACAGCTCTGGGTCAATATGTTTCTTGCCTGTTCCCTCTCCTGCTCTCGACGCAGCCTCCCAGCTGGCCTTTCTCCATTCTCCCCTTATTGATCACCCATCCCCACAAGCGCTGCCTTGATGGACAGGCGCTTCCCAAAGGCTGCACACACATTCAGGTGGCACCCTCCCTGACATCAGCCAGCTACCCTGGCCTCTAAAAAGTCAACAAACTTTCTGAGACATTATAGCAGCTTTCCAGACAGGTTTGATAAAATCCACCATGTCCCAGGCTTGGGCTGGGCCAGCCCCATGCTCCCCTGTGGGGTTCTCCTCAGAGGAGCTACAGGGCAGGGGGTTGACCCAAGAGCTTGAGGCATCGTTTCCCCGATGACTCTAGCAGGAGTGACTCGGGGTGCCTGCACCCCAGCTTTCCATCCAGCCAGCGGGGCTTTGGGAAGGGTCTTGTGCTGCAGCCCAGCAGCTGGAGGGGATCAGAGCATGGCTGGTCAGTTCTGCAACAAAATCCATGGTATGTTCTCAGACCTGTCATTTTAAGTTAATGCTTTCACCATTTCATATCGCCAAAGTGAAAGAGTATGGAGTGTCCTTGTTTCTCTTTGCCAGCTGCTTGCCCTGCTCACCGACCCTTGGAGCAGAGACCGACCAAACGTACCTTCCCTTTGATTGAGCTCAGTCTGTGCTGGAACTTTTATCTGTAGCTCAAATGCACACATAGAAAGCACACTGCCAAAGAACTACATACCTGAGCTTCATTTACTTCATTTCCTCAAGATTTCTTCCTTTCCTATACCCTCCATGTTAACTACCACTTGTGGCTTTAAAAATGAAATCATATACCTATCTTTTAACAGCCATGCAGACAGCTCATGACTCTTTTGAGGAATTTAATCACTTCCTATGCAGTAAGTTAAAGAAGTAAGAATACCTTTGGCAAAGCACGAAGGACGGGTCCGATTAGTACTTAGATCCATATCACATTAATTTCAGAATGAACGTGAAAAAGTGAACGTAAAGACCTTAAGCACAATAATGCATTGAGATGAATTATGTTAAATTCGTATCAATCAAACTACAGCAAAAAGCAGTCTTTGCTTTGGATGAGATAACAAATGCAGCATGTTTCATCTGTGGCTTAGTGATGCAGTGGAAATATTTTCCTACAATAAAAAAAGAGAGTTTTTTTTCTTAGGGCAGAGCAGGTAAAAGATAAATACCTGTTATTGATGAGAACTGGATTCATGCAAGGTACAAATAAAACATGACAACATCTTAGTGTACATTGGTTTTAGCTGGGAAAAATGAAGAACTAGTAAGTTTTATGATGTGTTTATTCTTACAGAAACAAGTAAAATAAAACTGTAAGATGCTACAGGAGCAAAGCTTCTACCACTTCCGTGCTTGATAACGGATTGATTGGTAACTTTGAGATAAAAAACATGTCTAGAGGGTTTGTCTTCTGCTGAAGTCCAATATGTTTAGTTGCAAGTTCTGTGAGGCAGAGGCTCTGTCCTTGTTGTGCCTTGTACAGCATGCAGCACGGTCAAATCCAGGACTCAAAGGATTATCACAGCACCTTCACACTATGAAGGAGAGTAAAATGTCACAAGCTCTAGGTCTATGGGTGTGCAGGTGACTGACGGTAGTGGGTTCTCATTCATGAGCAGGACAGGCTGAGAGGAAATAGCTGGTCCTTCCCAGTGCAGCCCAGTAACTGTTGCTCAGGCTGGTGTGCCGGTCTTTAGGAGGAATAAACAAATGCTCCTCTTTTCAAGAGCCTGGAGACAGACAGCATTGTGTTCCATGGGTTGGTGGCTATGTAGCAAGGGAAAGTGAGATACAATTACCAGGGAAGCCCCCAAAGCCAGGTAACCACCAAAGGAAGCAGCCCCTTTGTGGCTCTGGGAGGATGGCCAAGGATGAACCCTTTTTTGGCAGACTACAGCCCAGCAAGAAACTATCTGCGAGCAAGGAGGCTGCCTCCTGCTACTTGTTCTCACTGCACTGACGAACACAAAAGCTAAGGAAAGTTCTTCACAGATCTGCAGGAGAGCACCAGAGAAAAAAAAATAAAAATCTCCTTTACTGTTAATTTTCCTTCCTCATGAAAGCAATCTGCAATGGCCTTAAATTCTGGCTAACTGCTCAGGGGCAAAAGGGGTCAATGGAACACAGTCAATCATATTCTCCTCCCTTGCAAACCTTGCTAAGAGTCATGCAACTCTTGTGAACACCTCAGCTGCGATATGTAATGAAAGCACTTCAAAAGGACGCTGGAACCATTTCGCAGAGAAGAAATAAAATAATTGATTCTCCTTTTACAAGAAGGAGCTGTAACTGGTGTCTGTGATGTTTTGCAGGATATATTGGTGTTAACAGTAAATACTGGTAACGTTGCAGTCCTGTCGCAGGAGTCCCAACGGTCCCTCTGCCCATGCAGGACCCAGCAATTGCGCAATAAGGTAACTGGCATGCTACTCTCCTCAGCTACTCCAGCAGCCCCTCATCACACGTACTTCTCATTTCTCTCTTCAGGCTCTGCTTGGTTATCGGTTAATAGCTTACAGACAGAAAGCTGCAGCGTTAATTACCATCGCTACCCATTGAGGCGAATCAAACCAAAACACTCAGGCTACCTAAAACCCAGAATACTATCTTCAACAATAAGAACAAAATGTAATGTGAAACAAACTGCTAACGGTTTTTGAGCAGGTCTTCCCAGTAATTCAGTCAGAGTCATGGGACAGACTCCGTTTTGGCATAGGAAAGTTGTGCAGATTCCTGTGCGTCCTCATTCCCGTGATGCTTTCCTGGGTGAAGGGCCTCAGGTTGGCAAGTTTGGAGGTCTGTGCTTTACACCAGTCCTTACCAATGCCGGAGAGCCTGCCCTATGGAAAGCAAGGGTGGGACAGCCCCTCAGTGTGCCTAATGAAGCCTCTCTTTTCAAATGCTCGCTACCCATTGAAATGCCCCTGGCTGACATTTCAAATAAATTGTTAAGAATAGGCCAACCGAGGTTATCGATGTTAAACCAAGTGAGCTATATGAGCCATTGCTACAGCTGTGCACTTCTTTGTTTAAAGGGAAATAAACATATTTGACCTTATTAGTCTGGTTCCTCTTCACCTCTGTGAACCTCCCCAGTGCACGGCAGCGACAGACCCTCCTTGAGGAGAGTTTCTACTGCTTGCCACAGAGGCTGGACATGATCTATTCAAATTCAGTTTGAAGGCAATACAATATATTCTCAGACATTCTTAACTTAGCCTTTTAAAGGAGTAGCTTGAAGTTTGATTACTGATCTGCCTTACATGTTTGTTTGGGTGTTTTTCTGGCTATTGGAACACTATTCTATGAAAATATTCTTAAATTCCAAGTATCCATATGTTACACAAATAAGCAATAAAAGGACTTTCCAAAGCAAGACAGTGCTAAGTATTGTGGCTGTAAATCACTGGCTATCAGAAC